AGAGGGGGCGGGTCTGGGTCAAACTGGTTTCACTGGGGCAGAGCTTTGAGGATGGCGTTGACTTCCTCTGCGACAGCGGTCAGCGCAAACTCAAACTGGTCCTGGAAACAAGAAGAAAGACAATTATTATTAAAGATGGCTGCTGCAGGGAGGAGTGGTTTGAGAGCTCATTTCAGACGGACAATATTTTAAATAAAGATTTACATAGTGACCCGATCCAGTGGCTTAAAGTGACTTCTACACCTGCAGGGTGTTGGTGGGTGAAGAGGAGGACTGGGTAGACTCCTGACTCAACCTGAGCTCTTCACTTTGGACAGTGACACTCTATTGTTAGTATTTGGTTCCTCTTTACTCATGTTATTTATACAGCCTGGTTTTAATGTGGCAGGTGGGGTCCAGCAGGTTCAGGTGGATTAGGAGAAACAGGGGCAGGTGTCACAAAGACAGACTGTGACTATATCTTATACATTTGTGGACATGGAGACAGACAGTTCCTGGTTCACTATGCAAAGTATACGATATTAAAATGCTGAGAAATGTTTGTTGCTTTAACCCACCTTAGTACGAACCATCCCAGGCCTCTGGTCGCGGACGTGCTCGAGCGTCGCGGCGATGTCAATCTCTTTCACACCTGCAGCGCAACAGGCAAGAAGCAGATTCATTTTTATATGATGGCGACGTAATAATTAAACATGACCATATGAAGCGTGTTGATTAAAAACATTATACCAATAAGTAAAGCCAATAAATGTGGTTATAAATAAACCTCACCTTTAGCCATGCGATTCAGAACCATGTCGATCAGGATGTAAGTCCCAGTCCGGCCTGTGCCGTCGCTATGGAAACAGCATCACAAAACAGACTTTAAAAATATCTAAATGATCAAATTCAGTTTGAGACATTGACTAATGAATGAAAGAGAAAATTAGAAATAAAGTGATTACAGTGGAAAACAAACATCAGGGTTAAAGACATTTGAGACATACACTGCAAAACTGTTGCACATGTCTGCCACCTACTGGACTGATGTGGTACTACAATGGAGTGCATCCGCCCTCTATTATCTATTGTTATCTATCTGTCTAGTGTAGGCCGATGCATCTGCACATGCATCATTTGAAAACAATCAATGAAATGAATGAGTTTACCTGCAGTGCACGATGATGGGGCAGGAGCGTCCTCTGTAGCACTTATTCACCTTCCTGAGGCGAAAACATGACAAACAAGATGGTTACTGAAAGAATATCACATCATGGTAATGAAATAAAACCAGCCATGGTTTACTTCCTGCTGGTGTATTTATTATTTATTCATGACTGTCATCAGGTACATGAACGAGCAAACATGCAGGATACATTTACAATCAGAGGATTATAAAAATGAGATGAATGTAAAACAGTTCTGCATCTATATTTACAAAACTCATCATGTTCAGTTTTTGTTGATGTGTAAATTCCCTCATGTTGATTACTGAGCTCATAGTTAAAGGTGGAGCTGTACTGGACATTATATTCACACTATCATATTGTGATTATTTTGGCAGATAGATAGATAGATAGATAGATAGATAGATAGATAGTGAGTAAAATACAGAATCTATGTTTATATATATACAACCAACGTGATGCTCGTTCATGTATCTATAAACAGGTAAAACAACACACGAGCAGCCAGTGATGAAATAGACAGGTTAGTAAATAATTGAATGATCGTGCAAAAACAAACTTATTTCAAAATAAAACTTGACGGACTAAATAACATAAGTCAGATGAACGTTTTCATTTTCAGAAGCAGTATGCATGATGGATAGATAGATTGGGGGGGGGGGGGGAAAAGGGGTTTTCGGCGATGGACCTCCTGCTGCAGCCACATCAGTCCATGATCATTTTTGTGACTATGCAACTGGACCCAGACTACTAGCTGCAAACCACAAGAATGACACAGACAGATATGTTCAAAATTAAACCAAGGGCCCCGCTGACCTCCATCGCACAGGGTGGGAGGACGGGAAAAGAGAGGGAGGGGGGGGCAGAGGAGGGCGAGGAGGAGGAGGGAGCGGGGGAGGGATGACTGAAGGGTGGGAGAGAGAACTACTGTTGCTTCATCATGTTACGACGGTCAGTGAGTTCAATTAGAGTGAAATCATTTAGTCATGATGAAATATGAACATGTCCGACAATGAGCAACAGGAACTTTAAAGCTAAAGACTTTGGAAATCAGTCGCTGTTCTGGAGCTTTCGACCGCACCACTCAGTCTTCCTCAGCAGACGGCAACAATGACGAGGTGTCCTCCAGAAAGAAACTGAACTCATTTAAATTTGAATCTACTGTTTCATGACAACTGAGCAAAAGTCTTCTGCTGAGGAAGATCAAGTGATACAATCGATAGCTCCAGAACGGAAACCTTTCAGATATCTGCAAAAAAAACAAATTATTTAAATTTTATCTGTAATTTAAGTCTCAATATTTCTAGAAAATTCTATTGAACAGGTTGAAATATTCTTATTACACTGTCAGGTAGTTTTGTTAAACATAAACAAATGTCCAGATTACAGAGTGTGTGTGTGTGTGTGTGTGTGTACAGGTAGCAGCAGTACCTGCGGAAGTCCAGCAGGGGGCGTGTGGAGGTGGGGATGCCCTGAGCCGGCCAGCTGAGGAAGTGGAACTGAGTGAGCGTCCTGGTCTCCTGCGTCTGCACGTTCTTCAGGTAGAAACTCCTCACCAGGAAGTCGTTACACCAGATGTGCTCAGACACCAGGTTCACCTGAGGGACAGAGGAGCACTTCACTCATTATAACCAAACCTGTGGGTATTATAGTGAAAGCACCGGGGTGTCACCTGCTCTGACCTCATAGATGTGGTAGAGGGAGGAGCCTTCGTCGGGCCAGTAGCGGTCACACTGTTTCTCTCCGTCCTCCACCAGAGCCGTCATCATCACGATCACGGTGCAGCCGTTCTCCCAGACCATCTGCAACAGCATCAAACACAGATCAAGTCACTAACACGAGGGTCAGAGCGTGTTCAGTCTCCACTTCTCTAATTCAGCGAGTGAGAGGGTTAGTGTGAGGTTCTGAGGACACGCGTTTAACGCCTAAGAGACTGAGCTTAATTGAACTGAATTTCTCCCCCTGAGTTTCCAGAGAGATAAAAGCAGGGGGTTATGGGTAGGGAAACAATGAGGGACTGATCAAGTTGTGACTAAAGCTGTTTCACAGCTGAATCCTACTGCTAAAATAATTAACATATTGTAACATAACGTAGTATATTGTAATGTAACGTAGTAACATAATATATACAGTATTGCTTATTAAAAACCCAGTAAGCGCTCACCTGCCAGAAGTCAGAGATGGTGTGGGACAGAGGACCCTGGGTGGCGATGTAGGCCGGCATCCGGGGATCATGCTCGATCTGGGGGGGGGGGGTTATAGTCTCTTTACATCTTTACAGCAAGTGAAGCACGACATCGTGAGAGAGGCGGGAACTTACTATGGTGCTGGCGTTAATGTAGTCAGAGCGTGAAGGGTTGATCTCAGCTTTCAGCTTCACCCTGGAGTGATCATCTGGAGGACAGTGTCAGGTTATCAGTATTATTGATTTATTGTGTTTTTAATGATGTTAATATTAAGTGCCCTGCACCCCGGGCTGGACTCACAGGGCACAGAGTCGGGACAGCGGTTCTTCTTGGCGTTGGCGTCGCTCTGAGCCACAGAGACGACGCTGGGCTCCGCCTGGTAGGAACACAGCGCCTCCCACTCCTTCATCAGACGGTCCTTGTTCCTCAGGTGATCCTCCATGTACGCCTTTAGAAACGAAAGTGAACAACTTAACTTTGCCCAGTTAAACTAAGTGTGAGCACAGTGTCTGTCAGGGACTGACCAGTATCATGTGACCGGTGGAGATGTCCATGTTGGCCTGCGCCGGCTCCTCGCACCATGACGGCGTGCTGCTGTGGGAGCTGGGACTGGGCTGGGCTCCGTCGCTGAACTGGGACGACACGCTGCTCACCCTGGAGTCCGTACCTCCGCCTCCTGCTGCTCCTGCTCCCCCAACGCCAGCAGCCCCTCCTCCACCTCCACCACCTCCGCTCCCTCCTCCCACGGCGCCCAGGGCGGCGGCTTCCAGGCGTCCGAAGGCGCCTTTGGAGGCCATGTGCTGGCGACACAGGTCCTGGTGAGCCAGTTATGCATGCATCACGTTGGTACACTGCTTTCCTCTAGTTTTTATATCACAGGTCATGTTCATTGGATGTTTTAGCTGTTAGAGGGATGCTCACTCTTCTTTCAGCGCCGCCTCCACGAGTTAAAGGTTATTACTGAAACTTCCTCAGTACCAGAAACTATGATCTCTCCCTCTCACCTGGTACTCCTGGTGGCTGAAGCCGCCTCCCTCCGGTCCCAGGCCGAGCTTCTTGGCTGCCAGGCGGTGAGCGTGGTGACGCAGGCAGGCGATGGTCATGGCTGCCACCAGGATGCCGCCGATGCACGCCATGGCCACCAGAGTGGCAAACAACCAGCGGGAGCCGGGCTGGACTCGGGTCGCCAGGGGCAAAGATTTCCCATCATTCCTCTGTGGCAGGAAAAAAAAAAAAAGGGATGGATCAGTGGCTTTTTTCATTTAAACGACAAGTTCACAACAACCTCCCCCCCCCCCCCTCGATGAATTGTCTCTCTTGACCTTTCAGACCTCCTCCTTCCTCTCCGTGGGCCTCAGGAATGTGAGGCACATTCTCGCTCTGTGTGTGTGTGTGTGTGTGTGTGTGTGTGTGTGTGTGTGTGTGTGTGTGTGTGTGTGTGTGTGTGTGTGTGTGTGGTATCTGACGGACATTAAGGTTTAAGCGGGGGGAGGGGGGGGGGGGACCAGGCTGCATGTGGTTGAAGGAAATACGTGCAATATTAATAATATTAATAAATGAGTATCATTATCTCTGTATGAATATTATAAAGATATGATCCTAAACACGAAGCACAGAAATATGACTTCTAAACGGACGGTCAGTGCAGACACTCAGTGTCTTCAGTGTCAGCACTAAAATGTCCAGACACTAAACTCTGAAAGAATTTAACTGTGTAAAGGTCACTCGTCATGATTGGAGCATTATATAGACGTTCACCTCCATTCACAAGTCCGACTTCACCACGTCGGGATCAGCTGCTGAAATAAACTGGACGACGAGAAGAAAGAGTGAAGCTGTTGGTTTTTATACTTTGACTCACCAAACGAAGAGAGCTTCCTCTCCTCTGTGCTGCTGCTGCTGCTGCTGCTCACATGGACCCGGCAAATACCAGGAACTAAGAGTCAAGCTCACTGAATCAGCTGCTTCCCAACTTTCAGAATAAAAGCTATAAAAGCTACAAAATAATGTGTTGTGCTTTTAAACTGAAGGCCAAGGTGTTTCATTTCTTTGTTTCTTCTCTAACTTGATTTCTCTTTATCCCTCACTGCTCCTCCAGCTTTCAGAAGTCCCCCCCCCCCCCACATGAAAATATCTGGGGTATCGAACCCAGCACCCACCTCTCCAACACCGCTCTGCAGCACCTTCAGGCCCGTCTCCGACTCCAGGAAGTTCTTCTCTGCAACTGAGCAGGTAAAACATTTAAACATATATTATATATATAAAATGCAACTCCACCAATCATCCTTTATATTATTATATTTCAAAATAAAAGCTTGTCGGCCATACCTGCCGCCTCTGCCACGTCTCCGGCCGTCAGGTTCTTGGAGTTGGGCCTGATCCTGAAGGTGATGGCGGGTCCGACAACACTGTGGAGAACAACGACACAGAGGCAGGTCACATGTGAGAGGGGAGATTACTCACCACCAAGTCTTTTTAAGGAAGTTTCAAAGTTAAAATACAGCTTCAGTCTCTACGTTGACACGTCTATCTGAGGTGAGGTGTTCTCGAATTTCACTTTTATTTTAATGGAAATAATCAGCGACTTATTTTTAAATGAGTTGGCGAGGAGGAGATTTTTGTGATCTGAAACAGTTTTCACTGTTCAGGTCAAAGGTCAGGGGTCATTGGACGGTGATTAGGTCGAGCAGGAAGAGGAAGAAGCAGAACACAAGGATCACATCCGCTCCTCAGCTCCACCGCCGGTGTCGTCGGTCCTACCTGATGTTGATGAAGGAGCTGGTGGAGACGCCGATCCGCTCCGACAGCAGCTGCAGCAGTCGCACCCCGTCGTTCAGACTGAGGGGGCTGCAGCGACAAAACACACACACACACACACACACACACACACACACACACACACACACACACACACACACACACACACACACACACGTAAAACAGACACACACACACACACACACACACACACACACACACACACACACACACACACACACACACACACACGTAAACATACACACACACACACACACGTAAACATACACACACACACACGTAAACATACAAACACATGAATGGACTCAGGCGTTCAAACGGAGGTGGAACCTTTCTTTATTTCCTTCTTTCCTTTCCTTATGTCCTCCCTACTATCCTCCATTCTTTCCTTTCTTCATTCTTCTTCTTCCCTTCTTCATGCTCCTTAGGTTTCCTCTCCTCTCCTTTCCTCTCCTCTCCTCTCTTCTCCTTTCGTTTCCTTTCCTCTCCTCTCTTCTCCTTTCCTCTCCTCTCTTCTCCTTTCCTTTCCTTTCCTTTCCTCTCCTCTCTTCTCCTCTCCTCTCCTCTCCTCTCCTCTCCTCTCCTCTCCTCTCTTCAACAGCTGACAAACTTAAGATTTTAATTTAATTTTAAGAATGAAAAATTGACCATCTTTACTTTCCGACACACAGACTTTCACAACGTGAAAACGACAGAAAATCATTCGTTCGTTCGTTCATTCGTTCATGGGTGGAGCCACTACTGCACCTCTGGTTGGTGTCGATGTAGCCGTATCCCTCCGCCTTGGCCGCCGGTTCCTTCTTTCCCAGTTTGTCGTGGCTGGATGCCACAGAGGGAGTCGTCTGTTTCTGGGGCCCCTCCGCCTTTGGGGCCTTGATGGTGGAGGGCGGGGCCTCTGGAGCGGCCATCTTGTACGCCACTGAGCCCTCTGAGATCTGCCGGACGAAGACGAATGAAGACATGAAATTAAAAAGCCTCTCTACAAGGAAACAGTCCCAACATCAGCTGCTGAGAGACATTCTCACCTTCGTTCCCGCGGCAGCATCGTTTCCGTATTTATCTGAATAACAAACACACAGACGTCATCTTTCCTTCTCTTGGAGGAACTTGTGTTTGGTGTTAACTACATGTTAAAGACTGGAATGAAGGTTAGAGCAGCTGATGAGCGGATGACGACACCGACCTTTAGTCTGTTTGTGGGCGTAGGAGCCGTCCAGCTGCAGCTGCTTCAGAGCGGCCGGCACGTTGTCTTTCTGCTCGGGGGACAAGTCCTTGATGTCGAGGCCGTAGTGATCGAGCAGCAGAGCCAGTCTCTGCAGAGAGCGCTCTGTGAAACAAACAACGTGGGGTTATGGCCGCGACTTTCCCTCCGCTCCATCTCAGGAGGAAATATTGTCCGTCTTGTGACCAGAAAAGGAAACACTGAGGAGGAAGGACATACGTTTTTTACATGTGGTACTTTTTACATTCTGAACTTCTTCTCTCTTCTCTCACCGTCCAGCCCTGACAGGGCGTTGTGTTCCTTCTGTGCCTTCTTCTCCGCCTGCTCCTGCTGCTCCTGCTGCTGCTGTTTCTGTTTGCTGAGCTGGGACATCTGGGAAACGTAGTCCTCGCCGTAGTCCAGAGGGAAGTCCAGCTCGGGGAAGAAAGAGGAGGATGAGGAGGAGGATGAGGAAGACAGTGAAGAGGGGAAAGCTGCAGCTGCTCCCCTGTGGCGGGAGAGGGACTGCACAGGTGAGGATGAGGAGGAGGAGGAGGAAGAGGAGGACGGGGAGGTGAGGTAAAAGGACACCAGGTCCTGGAGAATCTGACGGTCTCGGTCCAGAGGTCCTCTGGATCTGGAGCGAGAGGGCGAGGCGAATGGCGGGAAGGCTGGATTATCGTCCAGAGAGTTGAGGGAGCGCTCCTCCTCCTCCTGGTAGCCGTACTGCTGCTGCAACCACAAACAACACACGTCACCTTCTAACCACCAGGGGGCAGACTGCTGTTTGCGTCTCTCTCCAAACCGTCGTTTGTCTACCTGGTGGTAGGTGTAGGGGTCCAGCAGCGGCGTCTGCATGTGGACGGAGGATCGGGAGGGATCCAGGATCATGTAGTCCACATACTGCTGCATCATCTCGGGGTCCGCCGGACCCTCGGGCCCCTGGACCCGACGCTGACCGGACAGTCTGGAGGGCCTGGGAAACGAGAGCTTTTAAATATTACAACGTGCTGTTTTGGTTGTCGCACTGGTCTTTACTGGACTCACTGTTTGGGCGTCCTCTCATGAAGCTTGGAGGAGGAGCTGATGGTGGGAACACGACTCAGCTCGCGGCTGATGATCGCCTGGGTCACGTCGTCCCTCCACGTCAGACCTGAGCGGCCAGAGGGCGAGAGGAAACGTCAGTCAATCAAACTTCTTCTCTTTTGGAAGCAGCAGCGTGAAAGAGACGGACACTCACCCTGCACCATCAGGTCTTTCAGGACTTCCTGCAGTTTGTGCAGGACAGGTACAGACACCTGGTACTGGACGGGCTCCTGCTGAGGAGCCTGGCACTGTCCGAACAAACCGTCTGCACAGGAAGAGAAGTCAGAGCAGAAGACGTCGTTCACGTCCTCCAGGATTTCATCATGTTTTATTATCTGGACATTAAATACGCCACATTACGAACTCTAAATAACTTTGCCTCTCATCTCTAGTGGCTCCGCAGTTTCATTCACAGCAGAGCAACATCTCAACACCTGCACCA